AGAGAAAAACAYGAGTACAATTTATGCACAGAGAAAATAGCTTTTCACTGAAGCAGGCGTTAGAAYGTAATGTGTTTCTGAATGCAAAAGGTGCCTGGAATTTTCCCTCTATCAGAGAATTTYTTAAGAAGCAAAGTTCAAATATTCAGTTATTTAAAGCCATAATTTAACAAGCATTCTGTACAAAACCACATTCCGTCTGTTTTTCAGCTTTATGTGACTCAGAGTGGTTTTCTTCTGGAGAATTATTTTTAGTTTTTGCAAGCCCAYAAATCCACTTAAAACACAAGTGAGGAATAATCATCTTAACTTTTCTTGGGTTTTGGTGACATTAGTTTGATTTTTGAATTAAATTTTATAATTTTAAGGACTTATTTTTTTTTTGCCTGGTTTCCAGAGGTTTAAAAGGAATCATAAATCCATAATCAGAGTTTATTCATAAGATTTGATTTGAAAAAGCCATAGGCAAGCTCTCAAGCCATGACCTTGCAGCTTTCACAAAGTCATCAGCTGGGCTACACAGAGGCTGTGGGTGATATGATGAGTCTTTTTCCCTCAGTTTTAAGAGAGGGGTACAGTTGCTGAAATTTTTGGCTAGAGCTGATTGACAGTCTTTTGATCTCAACTACAGAATCACGGAATAAGCTGGGTTGGAAGGGGCCYACAAGGATCATTTAGCCCAAATCCTGGCCCTGCACAGGACAATCCCCAAGGGTCACACCATGTGCCCGAGGGTATTGCCCAAACTTTCCTTGAACTCTGTCAGACTTGGTGCTGTGACCAATTGACTTCATCACAAAAGAAACCCAGGACGCTCTTTGCAGGAATGGGTCAACTGGGTGGAAAAGTTATAAGTGGCTTGTTATTTTTATGGGAATGCTTATAAATAGGTAACGTTTACACCTTAACTGCAGTGACACAATAAAGAGGGCCATATAAAATATAGAGAAAAGAAAACTGATGCAGGTTTGGTCTTTGAAACTCCACCAGTGGAGCAGCAATAGACTTATGGAACATAAAACTCCCTGCCAGAGGAAGGGCCAGGACCTTCACCAATAGTGCCCAAAAAGCTGTGCCCTGTACAGAGCAGCATCTGCGGGACACAAGGCAGTGAAATCACTTGATCAGCAGGACTTTATTTAAAACCAGGTTTTTTGTCTGTATTGTAGCTCAGACCCTGCAGCTCCCAGCCCACGTCCCAGGGCTCTGGAGTGGTTAACACATGGCCCACATTCAGCTTTTGGCACCTGGGGATGTCCCAATGCCTGCTCTGGCCTGAAGGAGGGATCGACCAGGGCAGTGATAAACCCACCAGGGTTTCTTCAGGAAGGGAGAATTCTCTTTAGGTCTGGCATTTTCTGCTGTATGCTTTTYGCACATAAGTCCCACCCCTTTATTTTTCAAACAGTTTCCGGGCTTGCTGGCTGCCTGTCCTAAATTTTTACTGCATATTAGTCTGCTGTGTCAACACAACATATGTGAAATCRAGTCATGATGCGATGAGAGCTGTAATGACAGATTAATACTCTGAAGGAGCTGATATTCAGCTTATGTGCAAGATTAAATAATCATATTATGTGTTGACTCATGCACCCAAATCTTGTGTGTGATGAGGAAAGTGGAGGAAGTTGCACAGACTCTGTAACATAACACTGAAAGGTGGATTAATGAAATGCAACTGTAAAAGAACTGATCGAGAGCATAATTCTATTGCTTTTGGCAGCTATTTCACCTAAGCCTTTGGTGCTTTCCTTGGTAGATCCTGTGAGGTGTTTGGGTGAAAATGGTACAAGGATTAACCATAAACACCATACATAAACCCATATGGCAGCAGTTTCAGTTACCAGGCTTCAATTTCAAAGATATGTTCTATTAATGACTGTAAAATGTATGTTCCTTTAAACAGCCAGGCTAAATGACTTTTAAACAGTAATTTAGTAAAAAAGATCTAAACAAAAGTTGGCATGGGCATTAGCAGAAACTGATGAGTAAATTAATTTAACATTCCCAAAGCATCCATACCATAAACCAATGAACCAGCAGTCAAAAATAATGATAAAAGGTGTGATTGAGTGGTGTAAATAAAAGTCTTGGCCTTGATTTTAAGAAGCTGTGTATGGAGCCAATTCCCAAAGTCCCCACCCCAAAAATACTTATTTCCCATAATTCTAATTGATTTATGAAAACCCAACAACCAGCAACCTTTGTGAAGCTTATGCTATATATCTCAGTCCATCAAAGTGATAAAACCTCACGGTGAATATATTGTTAATGAATAACCAAGCTTCAACCAAACTCACTGCTAAAGTCCTTTTCTTTCTTGATTAATAGTGGAACTCCATTACAGTGGATCTCATTGAAAACAAGCTGAAAGTAACCTTAGTTGAAACATGCTTATTCAAACCCTAAGTCATTAGAATACTTCAGCTTTAGAATACTGGGCTTTGAGGGCCCAGTAATCAGTTGAGTTGCAATAGACCTGTGCCATAAACAGCAGGAATCAGAACATGTCTTCTTCTAAGACTTATTATTTGTATTACTGTAGCACCTAGAGGCCACAGGAAAAATCTGAGTCTCCCGTGTTGCACATCACTCACTGAAAACAAGACCCTGAATCCTACAGAATGCAGCCAAAACAAAGGTGGGGTTGGCATTGAAGGATGTTCTGTGGAAGTAAAGCAGAACAATAGGCATGGCAGTGCACAGGATGCCACCTTTGCTGCCCTTTTAGCTTTTTCTTTGCGTAGTGCAAATATTAAAGAGAGAGCAGCAGAGRGTAAGGAAATAAAGGGACAGGGCTGATATCAGTGGGAGTGGGAAATAATGAATTATAAGAGAGAAATAGATATGTAAAATGGAGAGGTGAGGGAAGAGAAGTGTAGGAACTGCTGATTCCTAATCTGAGAGGAAGAAACTGTGCAGAATAGAACAATCCTGTAGTTGGGTCTGGTGCTGGGGGCTGTGGGTGGTTCTCGGTGTTGTGCTGGAAAGGGATCATAAARTCAGCAACAGAAAGAGATTGAGTCTGTTAATTAAGGTGATTCTCCTACTCCAGGCAGCATCAATTGTGCTCATAGYGTTCCAGTCAGACATTTAGACAATAATCAAGGGATTATTCTCATTCTTTGGTAGCACCATTTGAGCATTTGAACATAGTTTCCATATCAGCTCCCAGGCTGCTTTCCTTAAGACTAACTGATCCAGTTTATTTTCAGTTTTCCTTTCAGAGCACATGCTTGTCACAATTCTGATTCTCCTTTTTACATGTCTGYGTYGCTGTGCATTCCCTGACCTTGGCTYCTGTATTYAGCAGCTGCCCTGCCAGTACTGGCAAGAGCAAATGGAAATGATGCTGGAGAAACAGTTTTGTAGRTATTTGTTTTAGTTCTGTCCAGATGATTTTTTTTCTGTACCAGATGAGACTGTCCAGGAAGACAATGCTGGAAACATTGTGAGTCAATCTAGATGACATTCWCTGCTCTCCTACTTGTTAGCCTATTAAAGAAGGAAATTAGGTTTGTTTGACATGATAAACTCTTGACAAATTAATGGTGGCTATTAGTCATAATCTAGTTTTTGTCTAGGTGCTTGCAAAGTTCATTTGATTGGGGTTTTTTTTTGTGCTTCTTGGCTGGTGGAGGAGTCAACACAGCGATGGGTTGTAGTGGAAGGTGGAAACACTCTGCTCTGTTCTGTGGCTGCCTGGTGTGTTGTTCCTCATTCCCACGTCATCTTCCTGCCTCTTTTTAAACAGTTTCCAGCATAGGCTGAAACCTTAGATCTCTGTCACCACTATTAATTATGCTCACCATCCAGTCAGAATTGACCTTTCTTGTGAGGTTTGATGCAAAGTATATTAAAAATGATCAAAAGCTCCTCTCACTATGTGCTGACAGCTTTCCTTCTCCCTCGCAGGCTCCTGAGACCCAGGCTGACTCAGGCAGGGCTGGGGCTCTCTCCTGCCAGCCACACATTCCCATCCCATGCTCCCTCTCCTGCACGGTGACAGTGCTGTGTTCCTGATCCTCCTGAGTGCTGGGCCGTGAAACCAGCCTGAATTAAGAACCAGCCCAGTCTAGGTGTTTCACCTGCTTGGCTTTGAAGTTCTTTTCCTTTACATAGACTCATTTTCCCTGTGCCTTGAGTCAGCATCTGCCTTCACAGTTCAACTATATCCTTCTTGCTGGTTAGAGTCAAATTTGGGATGGTCCCCTTTATTCATCCTTACAGAAAACACCCCTTGAAGCTACCTGAAGGTATGGCTTTGGGACACAGACAGGCTGGGTTCCTATGGTCTTCCCTGACATTCTCCTTTTTCCCAGCTCCGTATCAGCGCTTCCTGTGCCGAGTTCAGCAAAAACGGGTACTTGGGACCCCTCTCACAGCCTCGGGCTTTGCCTTGCTGCAAACCAGGGTTGTGATGCCCCAATGCCGAGTTTCCCAGGCCGGGCACGTTCCGGCACAGCTGGGAGGATGAGCCTTTTGGCCGCTGGCTGCTGAAAGGCCGTAGCAAGGCTGGACAGCGGCGGGGCTGGACAGCAGCGGGACGGCTCCTGCCCTGCCCGGCAGGTCCGGAGCTGTGGGGCACCAGCAGCGTCACAGCCAGCGAGCAACGAGGCTGGGCTCCCCTCACCCTTTCCTCCCCTCCAGTCCCTCTGGCGGGTTCGGGCAGCAGCGGYGGGGGCCGGTCCCCGCGGGGCGGTCTCGGGGCGGTCTCGGCGGCGCGGCCCCGCCGCAGCCGGCAGCGACGCCCCCGTGGCGGGGGCGCGGATGGTCTCTCCCGGGCCGGCGGGAG